TGCACTAGTCGCGCAGGCTATTCACTTTCCTCCATCGCGCTCAAGGAAGTGTGATGTGATTTTTAGACTTGCCTCTGACACACAAGTGTTGGAGAATTGGGCGGCCATGGAGAATGCCGTCTCACACTCTAATATCAGATCTCAACACTGATTCTCTTACTGGTTTGCAACATTTTCATTAACGTCGGTAGGGATTTAATTAAATCATGTGTTTTAATTAAACTACAGCTTAATAAAGGTCTAATTAGCGCTTATAAATTTAATTAAATATAATTAAAACTTATTATTTACATATTAAAAATAATTAAATTTCATTTCAGCCTGACCTATTAATTAGTCTCATCGTGTTCATAGATAGCTCCATTCTTGGCCACTTACAAGATTTAATTAGCATTTAACAAAATTTAATTAAAGTCAACTCTAATAAAAAATTAATTAATTACAAATTAATTATTTATTAAATTTAATATGCGCCTTTTTGCCAGGGCGACGGCGCCGCGCTCCCGGCGATCCCGAACGGTCGCCCTGTCTCTCTCGCACCCCGTCGTGACGCCCCACGGGTGCGAGAGAGAGAGAGAGAGAGAGAGAGAGAGAGAGAGAGAGAGAGAGAGAGAGAGAGAGAGAGAGAGAGAGAGAGAGAGAGAGAGAGAGAGAGAGAGAGAGAGAGACGCGTCGTCACGAGATTAGACGGGGATGGGGTAAGCGGCGCGCATGCTGCAGCTGCGATGCTTTTCATCACGCGCGTTGAGTGCAACGCGAACGCGCAGCCACGGCGGAGCGGACAGACGGACAGGCAGACAGACAGGCAGACAGGCAGCCAGCGAAAAGGGCGGCGCATTTCCATTCCCGGCACATTCCCCGCCCAGTGCTCCCCAACGCGCCGCGACGCGCACAGTGTGCACACGCCGAGGACCATTGTTTTGTTCCGCTGCTGCTGCCGCTGCTGCCGGCCCACCGTATCGCCGACAACTTTGCGCCCTTATCAGCGCGCCGCCACACTCACTCACCTGGCCGCCGCGCCGCCACCTTAAGTCTTTTCAGTTTCCACACAACGGGGCGGGCGCCTTCCAAAATCACACCGCCCTAGCCAACCCCGCCCCACCCCACGCCTTGAGCGCGCACTGTCTCCAACAAAAATAAAACTCCCACACCGCCGCCGCCGTTCGCACAAAAGCCTTTTGTCTGCGTTTATCTAATGGCCGCCAATGGGCCAAAGGCGGGGCGGGGCGGGGCGGAGCGTGGCGGGGCAGTGTTCGCTCACGCTGCCTGTCACACTGTTTCTCTAGTGCGACACGCCGACGCGCTGCGCACAGTGGGCCGGAAGACCGGCGGAGGCGGCCAAAACTCTAAACGCGTTTTGAGCTCCAGGTCACTAACTGGGACTCGAATGGATCGTGAGACACAGTGAGACCCCACCAATGGATTGTTGTCCTAACAAGGAATACATTGGTGGGGCCACACGTTCGGATCGAGTCCTGTTTCGCGACTCTGGAGCTCAAAACGCGTCTAGAACTTCGGCCGCGCCTCAACCGGTGTTCTGGCCCACTGTGCGTGACACTGCGTGACACCGCGTGACGTCACGGCCACACTAATGACCCACCCAGCAGCCCGTCACCGCGTGGAATGCCTCGGTGTGTAATTAAAGGGGGCGAGGGCGATACCTCCATGACGGGGGTCTTGGGGGGGGGGGGGAGCCCCCCCGCGGCAGAGACGTGCAGCAGGCCGATAACCGCGCGGCGTTTCGCCGGTGTCTTCGTCGCAGTGTGCGGGAACGCACCATGAGTGCGGGAGGGACAGGGCGTTTGGCGCCACGCAGCAACCCTGCACTGTAACAGGTCGGCGGCCGCCGCACTAGCCTCTTCTCGGATCCGCAGCAAGGACGTGTCGCCGTGCTCCGCCCTGCTCCGCCCTGCTCCGCCCTGCTTGGGGGCGCTGGGGAGCTGACCCAGACCGGCCCGGTCCGCTGCTGCAAGACGACCCGGCCGGGCTGTTGGCCGGGCGGCAGTGGCGGCGGCGTCCCGGGGGATGCGGCCGCACTGAGTCAGTGCCCTGACGTCCCCAAGGTTCGGCCTGGCAGGGACTGGCAGGGCCCGGGCCGCAGCGCCGCAGTGCGCATCCGCTGCAAGTTGTCTACGCGGAGGCCCGACCCGACGGTCGGCGGGGAAAAACTTTTGTCCGTGATGAAGATGTGTGCCATCTCACCTTGCCCCTCTCCCTCCCTCTGCGCTTCCGACTTTGATTTATAGGGGCGGGCGAGGACGAGGGACTTGTTCGCGTCCTCCGGGACGGTCCAGACGGTCCACACACAGCCCAGGGCGGCCCAGGGCGGGGCGTGTTTGCGAGCGCGGCGACGACAAAGGGGCTCTTCCAGTGGGGCTCCAGCGGGGCCCGTGCAGCGCGCTGCAGCAAGGCGGCAGGACGCGCTTCCTTCCGCCCTTCCTTCCCCACTTCCTCCAGGACTCCGGGCGGCGAGGCCAGCCGAAGGCAGGGCGCAATAATTGCTTCCCGACAGAGTTAGTGCCGGACACGGCCCGGCCCCGCATCAGCATCGACCTAAGGACCGGGCCTGCTGCTGCACGGTGGGTCAGAAGACCGGCGGAGGCGGCCGAAACTCTAGACGCGTTTTGAGCTCCAGAGTCGCTAAATGGTACTCGGACCGAGCGTGTGACCCCACCAATGGATTCCTCGTTCGGAGAGCAATCCATTGGTGGGGTCACACGTGCGGTTCGAGTCCTGTTTAGTGACTCTGGAGCTCAAAACGCGTCTGGGATTATGACCGGCTCCACCGGTCCTCTGGCCCACTGTACGCCGGCCGGCCACCGCCACCCGCCCGAGCTGGCCGTCATCCCTCACGTGCGCCGCACGCCACCACACGCACGGCCCGCGCGCTTCGGGCTGCTGCTGACGCCTTCGCCGCTCTGTCTCTCTCGCACGGATATGGGACGCCCCAAGAGTGCGAGAGAGACAGAGCGACGAAAAGGCCTCTCAGTCTGCTGGGCCGCTTCGAGCGGACAATGACGTACGGCCGGCGGAACCGCACGGAATACATAAAGGCTGCCGCCCCGCCATGCCTTGGCCATGCCCGCACCCCGTTCGGTTCGGCTTCGGCCCGATGGAGCACGCCAGCGCGGTCAAACGCGGAGCCCGACGAACACGGCGGACTGATGCCATCGCTCTGCCTTTCTCTCTGTCTCTCTGTCTCTCTGTCTCTCTCTCTGTCTCTCTCTCTCTCTCTCTCTCTCTGTCTCTGTCTCTCTCTCTCTGTCTCTCTCTCTCTGTCTCTCTCTCTCTCTCTCTGCCTCTCTCTCTCCCTCTCGCACCCCTGCGGGACTCTGCGTGAGCGCGAGAGAGACAGACAGACCGACGGTGTTTCGGCCTGCAGGCCTTCTTCCTCCGTGGTCCGCAGCTCCCGACAGGAACAACACGGCAACAACGAAGCGGAGCGAGGAGGGGGAAGAAAAATTAAACTTTCTTATTTACCCTTTCAGAGCTCGCTCCGTTCGCGCGCCGCGTCGCCCACCTCCGTCATGGCCACGCACTCAAACATTCGCTCTCTCCCTCTCCCTCACACACACATTCACTCGCAAAATGACGTAAAAAGAGAACACAAACTAAGGCATCAAAAATTGAGAGGCGCGCCGGGCGAATTCATGACGACTGCGTTACGGCAACTCACAAAGTAATTAATTATCCCGCTGCCGTATAATGCCCGAAACGAAGAGCGACAGAGAGAGAGAGAGAGAGAGAGAGAGAGAGAGAGAGAGAGAGAGAGAGAGAGAGAGAGAGAGAGAGAGAGAGAGAGAGAGAGAGAGAGAGAGAGAGAGAGAGAAAGGCCGCTGCGAAAAGGAGAGCACTAGGAGGGCGAGTTTACGAGAGATTAGAAAGGCGTGTGCGGCGCGCTGCCGCGATATCGATAGCTCGAAAGCTCCATGGCTCCATGGCGGGATGGAGCTGCTGCTATGGCGGCATTAATGTATTCGCCGTTTTTTTTCCAGGCCGTTTCAATCGGTCCGAACCGCGCGCAAAGCGAGGCAGAGGCCGTGCTATATGGCTCAGCGGCTCTGAGCCGCGCGCGATGCGATGGCCTCGCCCGTCCGGTCCGGCCTCCGCGCCCCGCCCCGCCCCGCCCCACCCCGGCCGCGCCCTGCTGCCGATAGTCCCATATATCGAAGCAAACACTGTGCAGCCGGAGCGGCGCGAAACAAAACGGCAAAAATAATTACGCGATAGCGGCGCTGCGCTGCCCTGCGCCAGCCGGTCGGGACGGCGCGCTCATTCAATGCGGCGGCAGCGGCACGTCGCTCTGTCTCTCTCGCACCCCCGCCGGATCGCGGGACACGCCGCGAGTGCGAGAGAGACAGCGCGCCCCGTTTCGGGGCCGGGGCCGGGGCCGGCGGCCAGCCCAACGCGACGTATCGATGCGGGCTATCGCGCGACCACTTCATTACCTTCCAGAGCAGAAGGACGGCCGGGGACCCGGACGGCGGCGGCCAACGTCCCCGGGGACGTCGCGGACCTCGCCTGCCAGCGAGAGACAGGCGAGGAGCGCCAACTAAACGAAAGTCACAAGTTCTTCACGGGCCAATATATCTCCGGAACCGTTAGCGTCAGCAAAAACATCCGGTGTATGGTTTGTTCTTTAAATTCGGATTCCGAACGGTGCTCAACGCTCGCTGCATTGACAAGGTAATGACAGAAAATCCTATTTCCTTTTCCTTGTTTTTTTTTTTGTTTTTATTAGGCTTGTGATGCCGAGGAACGTGCATGCAAGGGGAAATCACTATGAATTTCGGTGTACAAATCCATTAAATTTCGGTTTGAGTCGATTTTTGACGAATTTCAGTCAAATTTGGATGAATTTCAGTCAAACTTCGATGAATTTTAATGAATGTCCGTAAATTTTACATGTTTGATGAATTTTGGTGTGCAAATTTGGCTCGAGTTATTTCCCCTTGCGTGGCGGGGTTCGCCGCGACGCGAACCATGGCGGCGAGACTCACCGTTCTTGGGGCAGCACACGAACTCGACGCCCGCGAAGACGGAGATGCCGCAGGGCAGCAGCATGGCGAAGGAGCGCAGCTGCATGTCGCGGTCGGCGCAGGACTGGGCCGCCGTCTCGTTCCACCGGCCGAACTCCCAGCAGCGCGTCTGGTTGTGCACGTGGTCGAACAGGCACGACTCGGGCACCAGCAGGGCGTCGCTCTGGAACGGGCCCTCTGCGGACAGACAGGGAGCACAGCGTCAGCATGGCCAGCACGGACATCATCGCACAGTGGGCCAGAAGACCGGTGGAGGCGGTCAAAATCCCGGACGCGTTTTGAGCTCCAGAGTCGCGAACCAGGACTCGAACTGATCGTGTGACCCCACCAATGGATTGCGCTCCGAACGAGGAATTCATGGGTGGGGTCACACGCTCAGTTCGAGTCCAGTTTAGCGACTCTAGAGCTCAAAACGCGTGGAGAGTTTCGGCCGTCGCCAGGAGGAAGATGCCAGCGCGACGCGCGCAGCCGGCAGAGCGCCCGACGAAGGCAGGGTAGGCCACCCGGTGCACAGGTGAGCCTGGCGGGCTGGTCCGACGAATCCACGCAGGCGCGCGGCCACGGCGTCGAGCCGGAGGCGTCAGAGAGAGCTATTCTTGTCTCGCGGCGCTCGCCACGCCACGCCACGCCCCGCCACGCCATGCCACGCCGGCAGCGCCATCCGAGCGGCCGTATTTGGCGTGCGAGTGACGTAGCGCGGCGTAGGGGGGCGTGCAGGGCCTCCATCGGGCCTAATGTACTTCCTGAGCCCGCATCCGCGGCCGTCTCAAAGGCCGAGAAAGCCTTCTTGGCGGAGGAGGGGGAGCTAAAAGGGAGAAAAAAGTAGAACAACCCGCGACCGCGCGAGCAGCGCGGGCGAGTCATGAGGCACGCAGAGTGGGGCTACCTCGACGTCGCCAGTGTAGCGCGCAAGGACCGCGACGACGGGGATGACGAGGGCGACGAGGACGCGGCCGTCACGAACCGGCCGAGCCGCAGCCACGCCCCGGAGCGTGAAATCTGCAATCGGCGGAGCGTGTGCGCGGTCGCAAGCGGTCGCAGGCGGTCGCAGGCGGTCGCGCCCCACGCCAGTGGTTCCACCGCTCCGTCTCTCTCGCACTCAGCGGGGGCGTTCCGCAGGGGAGCGAGAGAGACAGATGAGCCTGCAGCTTCGCCCCGCCATGCTTGGGAGGGGAGCGCGGCCTAATACGAGGGCTTATCTCGACCCGCCATTCATTCCAGTGTGCTGAAGAGGAGGAGAGGGGGGGGGGCACGTGTTGCGTGGCGCTGCCTGACGGCTGTCGCTCCATTCCATCCCGAAGCAGCACGGGCAAAGCAAAACGCAAAACCCTGCCCTACATACAAAGTCGCCAACCGGACTGCTTACAGTGCACGGTAAAAACGTTTCCTGGTTTTCCCAGGAACCCTATGGTAAAGACATACACAGTAAATGTTTGTGTACAATTTTGTACGTGGTGATGCATAATTTTAAACTTGTGTGCCGTCGTGCATAAAATTGTGCGAGAACTTGCATAAATTTATGCATTTTCACGCATAATATTATGCAAATTCCCCGCATGCACAAAATCATGCAAGTGGCACGTACAAAATTCTACATAAGCATTTAGTGTGTAGGCGATTTCCAGGGAGTTCCTGGGAAAACCAGGAACCGTTTATACCGTGTGAAGAAGTGCACGACACTAAGGGACGACACCGCAATTGGTTTAACAAACAAAACATCAAACGAGAAACAAAATACATAAATAAGATACAATAAAAATAAAGCACGCGTCCCGGAAAGAGATAAACCCATGCTCTTTTTCTGGGTGAGGGCCAATCCCTCCCTTCGCCTTATCGCCAGAATATTATCAACAGGACAGTTGGGAGCGACCGCCGCATTATGCTTTGCTGGGGGCGGGGCGGGGCGGGGCGGGGCGGGGTGGCCGGAGTGCAAACTGGCAATGTGGCGTGCATCTTGGCGCCCCGCCACGCCGCCACGCCGGGGGCTTCAGTCTTATCGCTTCCAGTGCAGCGCCGTGCAGCCGTGCAGCGATGCAGCACTCCAGCCCCCAATTAGAACGACGAGCCTACAGCGGCGTGACGAATCCGCCCGACAAACGCGGCGGGGGCGTCGGGGCGATCGGACGGCGCGGAATATAATTAAAAACCCCGAGAGGGGGAGAAAGGGGGAGCGACAGAGAGGAAAAGGTCCGCACGCCGGCGGGGGCTGGGGGGGGGGGGGGGGGGGCGAGGTCGAGTACTAACAAGGAGGTGGGCGTCAAGGACGCACCCTGGAGGACGCGCCGCGCCGCCAGCTCATTCCGAGAGTCGTTTTCGTCGCTCTGTCTCTCTCGCACCCACACGGGACGCCCCACGAGTGCGAGAAAGACAGAGCGACGAACACGACTCTCGGAATCCAGCCTGCAGGGCGGCCCGGCGGTCGGGACTTTTGATTGGCCATTCCAGTTACTCATTACAAGAGGCGCACGGTTACTCTCGCCACCCGCAGCGCGCTCGCCCGGCACCGCCGACGCCAAACGGCCTTCAAGTCGACATAACCTGAAGATAAAACAGCGCGCGCGGCTTGCCAGCGCCTCTTTGCCACAGAGAGGCACAGGCTGCCGCGGGTTGCCGCCTACACGTAAGGCGACCCTCCGCAAGGCCGCGCCTCTGCCACGCTAAGGCTGGGCTGAGGCTAGACGAGGCCAACGAGAAGGGGCGGTTTCTTGTCACTGCAAGGCCGGCAAGGCCCTCCGAGCTCCACACTTCATTAGCGCGTAAAGCCGTGTTATTATACAAATCCGGTGGGAGGATCTCGCGGTGCTGTGCTTCCTCATCCCCCCCCCCCCGCTGCTCGCCGCGTATCTCCGCCAGAGGAGATTCTCTCCACGGCCTCGCCTCCCGCCTCTCCGGCTGAGAAATGTGCCTGCGCTGCCGGCAGACGGATTCCGAGCGTCGTTCTCATCGCTCTGTCTCTGTCGCACCTACAGGGGATGCCCCATGGCTGCGAGAGAGACAGAGCGACGAAAACGACTCTCGGAATCAGTCTGCAGGGCGGCCTGGAGCGCGGCGGAGCGCGGCGCTCTGCCTGTCGGAATGCCAATTAAAATCACGAGCAGCGGATTCCTCCAAGTTTAGCGCAGCGGCCGGCAGGCGGTGCCAGGAGCCAGGCGGCACAGGTGGAGGGGGCGGGGGAGCGACGACGGTTAAACGTCCCCGAACGCCCCCGGCCCCTTCGCATCACACCTGCAGGGCTGCGCCTGGGACACGCTTGTCTCCGTCGCACACACCAAGGTCTTGGGGCGAGACGGAGATGGACAACGCGGGTGGTGCCTTGGGGCTTTCGGACGCGCCCCCAGGCGGCAAGGCAGCAGCCGCCACTCTCGGCCGCTCTCGGCCCCAGCAAGCATTGTTCATCGTCCGCCCTCGGCCCCGGCCCCTCCCCTTGCACTGGCCCAGCACTGCCCAGCACTGGCCAGCACAGCACGCCGCCTGCGTCAAACAGACCCATGAATAGGCGGGGCGGATCAAGGCGACGCTTGTCCGGCCGGGCCATCTTGTCCAGCAGCAGGAGCAGCAGCGTCCGGATCATCCCCGCCGTGCCGGGCCCCACCTTGCCCCGGGACCTGGGGGGCTCCGCCTTGGGCTCTGCGGGGCCCTGGGTCAGTCCAATTAAATTATGCGGCCCAAGTGGATGGCAAAGATTTGCTCGCGAGATACGGCACGCCCCGACAGGCCCTCCACTTTTCTCCAGTCCGGGGGCTCCAAGGCTAAGGACCAGCGGGCGGCTAGGCAGCAGGCAGGCAGGCAGTCGGCGGGGTGACCGCCTGCGTCGCGCCCTTGCTCTGCAGCGAACCCTGGCCGTGGCCCTGGCCGAGGCCGTCCCGGCTTAGCCGGACTTAGCGCGCTGCGAACTACAAGCCCCGCCAGAGCCCCACGGACTCACGGCCTCGCGCGCAAAGCCGCGCCACGCCCTAGACTCCGACGAAGTCCCGGCCCATAGGCCCCGATACGACCCCGACCCGGCCCCGACCCGGCCCCGACCCGGCCCCGACCCGGCCGAGACCCGGCCCCGACCCGGCCGAGACCCGGCCCCGACCCGGCAAAGACCCGGCCCAGACCCGGCCGAGGGGCCGGGCCGGCCGATACCCGGTCGCCCTATAGGGACCCGGCAAAGCCTCGGCCAAGCCCCGACAGAGTCCATCCGAGTCCGGCCAAGTCCGGCCACGGTGTAAGAGTGCGCCACCCGAAGAGTGGTCTCCCTACACCGTAAGTCCGGTGGAACCCGCCACAGTCCGGACTTACGGTGTAGGGAGACCACTCTTCGGGTGGCGCACTCTTACACCGTGGCCGGACTTGGCCGGACTCGGATGGACTCTGTCGGGGCTTGGCCGAGGCTTTGCCGGGTCCCTATAGGGCGACCGGGTATCGGCCGGCCCGGCCCCTCGGCCGGGTCTGGGCCGGGTCTTTGCCGGGTCGGGGCCGGGTCTCGGCCGGGTCGGGGCCGGGTCTCGGCCGGGTCGGGGCCGGGTCGGGGCCGGGTCGGGGCCGGGTCGGGGTCGTATCGGGGCCTATGGGCCGGGACTTCGTCGGAGTCTAGGGCGGCGTCCGAGGCCCGCGAGGCCCCCAAGGCCCGGCCCCGATACACGCCGCGCGCAGTCCACCCAAACTACGGGGTGTTTTGAATGGCGCTCCCCTGCCGAACCAAACCTCGTCATCATTTGGCCACAAGACGACCCAAGGCCGCGGCCCTGTTTTCCCTAACGACCGGGACGGCCGGCACGGCCAGGACACGGCTTCATGCTTCATCCCAATGGCCGTGGCCGGCAGCTGCCCGCGGCACTTGTTCCGCTACAACAACAAGCACGCCCAACGCCACGCCACGCCCCGCCACACCCTGCCCCGCGTCCGCTATGGGGTGATATCGGGGGACGCGATGATAAATCGCCCCGCCATGCTACAGTCGGATCGAATTAGTCTCGGACAATTAGGTCGTCGGAGCGAGCGGTCCCGGCGGGACGAAGCTACTGAGCCGCTGCTGTTGTTTTCCCGTCCCGGGCCGGAGACGCCGCCGAAAACGACCTGGCCCCGCACGCCTCCCCTCCCCTCCCCTCTCGCGGGAACGCCAGGAACTAAGCCCCACTGCGGCACAGTGATTGGAACGGCCCCCGTTGGAACGCGCACGTGGGTGTGTAAGT